ACAAAGGAATCTCACCTCCCAACCACACTGTGCAAAGGCCCAACATTGGAGACTGGATTCAGGGGTAGTATCAATAGGATCTCCAGGTGAGAATACACCACCGTCAGCCAGTAACACCTTGCCTTGAACTTAATATCAGACTATGTAAGAACTGGTCCCAGAGACCAAGATGCAGGCCAGAGGTGGAAGGAACCTGGCCATGAGGCTGAAAGGCTCTGCTTTGTCACCCGTGCCTCCATGAGGGTTAGTGGCAACTCTCAGCCTGTTTGCTCAGCCATCACACAGAGGTACCCACTTCACCATCAGTTGCAATTAGCTTTGCTGGCACATCCAAACCCATACTCACAGTGGCTAACACTACACCACAGGAGGGTGCTGAAGGGGAGGGAGGGCTCTAGACAGCCAGAGAAAGTGTTAAGGTTATCCTTGGGCCCCCAAGGATTAGGACAGGTAAAAAGGGAAAATAAGGGTGTAAAAGCATGGGTTGGGGTTCTCATGATCACACTTTTGTCCAGAACTAATTCTGGAGGAATCTCAATTCATGCTTTTGCAGAAAACATTGTGAACAAGGTAAAGTTTCAAATTCAGGAGGGCTTGTCCCCCTTATGTTACACTCAGCAGAAACCAACCATTCCTGTCACTTTACTAGTGTGTGTGCTCTGTTAGGACAATGGGGTTCCCTTGAGGATTTCTGGGTTGAAAAGATGTAAGAAAATGAACATGTCAAACAAACACTTGAGTGTCTACTGCATGCAGTGTGTTACAAAGAACTGAGTGGAGGTTCAATAATGAACAGAAAAGAAAGAAACAATCCAAATGTCTTGGGCTACATCAATGCATGAACAAAATGTGATACATACATAATGACATTCTGATACATGCCACCACATAGATGAACCTTGAAGACATTATGCTAAGAGAAATAAGCCAGACACAAGGGACAAATATTAGATGAGTCCACTTATATGACATACGTACAGCAAACTCATGGAGAGGTAAAGCAAAATAGTAGTTACCAGGGGCTGGAGGGATGGGTGGAGGGTGGGGAAATAGTAAGTTATTATTTAATGGGTACAGAATTTCAGTTTGGGATGATGGGAAAGTTCTGGAAATGGATAGTGGTGGTGGTTGCACAACAATGTGAATGTTCTTAATGCTTCTGAATTGTACATTTGAAATGGTTAAAATGGTAAATTCTGTTATGTATATTCTCCCCGCCCCCCCCCAAAAAAAAACAACAAAAAATGACTAACAGAGCCCAGTTTTTGGCCTTCAGATGTTTGAGTTTAAAATGAGTTAAAATAAGGAGTTAAATGTCCTGCCACGAGGAAGGACAGTGCAGGACGAAAGACTGGAGCCTACGGCGGCGGCGGCGGCAGCAGCAGCGACTCCAGGCATCTCTCACCTTGGGCTGGGAAGCTCAGGAAACACTTGTCATTGGGCATAATAACTACTCTTTTACCTGGCTGCCCAGGAGACAGTGAGCAACCTTGAAACAGGGACTCACGTTTTATTCTTTCTCTCTACGGATCTCAGAGTGACAGGCACAATTCATATCTCAATACAGGCTTACAGAATGACTCTTCTTCGAAGGAAGAACGGGGCTCCAGGTGTCCTCCAGGGTTGAAAACACGTTCGTGTTCACATTCATGAGTAAACGCTCAGGATGCGCAAGGAGTAGTCCAGGTTCCCGCCCCGTGAGCTTGTGGCTATCAGCTGTCTGCCAGCTTTCGCCCACCGAAGGAGGCCTCCGGCCCGAGGCGCTCAGGGTCATGGGCCCAAGGACAGAGGGCTGAGGCATAGCTTCCCGTGGCCTCCTGGGCTCCGGATGAGCGAAATCACCGTCACCTCCGCCCGGGTGGCTCAGCCCGCTCCGGGAGCGCCCAAACCGCTCGCGGAAAAAAAGCCGAAACCTGAAGTCCAAGGATCTTTGCCCGCGGCCATCCAGTCCCTGCCACTCCAAGCCCAGTGGGAGGGACGCCGGGGAGCCGACTGCTTCGCGAGTCCCAGGCCGGGCCAGGCCCCGAGGTGCCCGGGCCAGCGCGAGGGCTGGGCGGCGCGCCGCCGCCAGGGGGCAGCTCTCCCCCACGCGGGCGCAGCCTGGACCCGCGCCCCGCCGCCTTCTGCGTCCACGCGAGCGGGGCGCGCGGGAAGGAGGTCGCCGCGTCGCCGCCCCGGCCCGCCTCTGGGCAAGGTTCCTGTCTCTTGTACAGCTGGAGGGTGGAAGGGGGTCGGGTAGAGATTTCCCAGCCGCGGCCAGAAGCTGGGAGCGCGGCAGGGAGAGGAGCCCAGGGGTGGAGGACGAGGGGGACGAAACCCGGAGGCGCGAGAGGTACAACGCTTGCGTTTCCGCGCTCCGGGAATTTCACGAGCGCTGAGCTAAAGGCCTCACAACAAATGTGGAGCTTAATTAAGCAAGCAAAACAAGTGGAACGCCCACATGTGGGGCTTTAGTAGAGCTTGCTCAAATCTTTAATGTTCTCTGCATCTACAGCGGTCCCTCTGGGTTCATCTTCCACTCTGACCTTCGGTAAATCCTAACACTTTCCCTTGAGTGGCCAGAAGATAATTTGCTACATTTTCCCAAGCGTTTCCAGGGAAGAGCCCTTTAACCCTTTGGGAGGAACCTGCGGACTAAGTCACGGGCGGAACACAAAGTCTGTCCCGCGCCCTTCTCCGACAGAGTTTAGGGCGGTGGAAGCCCTGACACAAGGACGGCTGTAACTGATCCTCTAAAGTAATTAATGGTCTGCGAACAAATTCTTCCTCTCTGTTTCATCTTCAAATACTTTGCCACACACCAACCCTCGAGCGCTGCGAAAGTCATGGTGTTTATTTAGATACCGACTGAGTACTTCTAAAACTTAAACTTTCCGATGTAAAAGTGAACTCCTTGGTAAGGACTCCTGGCTACATCAACAAAGCAATGTGATGCCTGATTAATGGCGCTGATTAATGTTGGCGCAGGCTAATGCTGTGCCCATTACAATAATTAAATTGTTCAGCCATATATCAAACGAGAGTCAATGAAAAATAATTTATTTAGAACTTTGAGGCGTTCTCATAGCTGTTGCAGAGATCTGTGATAGACATTATGGGTCATTTGTAAGTGTAACTGGTGGTAGTGGTCCTCAGCAACAACAACAACACCAAAAAAAAAAAAAACAAAACGATTTTAAAGGAAGTCTTAGATGGAGGAAGAGTTTATTTTTGAGGCACTGTGATTGATAACGGTAGTAATGACACCTTTCAAAATATGAAAAGTACTTGGTTGATAAAGTGATATACACAAGCACAGCTCATGACTATTGCTGCAGAAACCCATTTAGGTTTGATTGTCAGTTCTTATCAAGAAGTCATTTTAATCAGAAAGTTAAAGAGTTTTAGGGCAAACTCTTCAGTTTGAAATACAAGCATTTTAGGAAACACAACAATCCAGAAGGTATGGCTAAGTGTGAATTTTACAAATTATTAGGATTCTCCACTAGCTAAAATAAATTTGAGTTTGTGATAAAGAGAGGTATCTTTACAAGAGTAATACATATTTTAATTATTTCCACCACATTGTCACCTGAAAAAGAAAACTGAATAGAACTTGAATCTCATACCAAAATTTTCATTTCTTTTGACCCAAAGGTATTAGAAATATTTAACAGATTTTCCAAAAACACATTTTTAAAAGTTGGCTTTAAAGTTATCTATCAATGTAGTTTCGATTATTAAGCCTGCCTAAGTAGAAATGTGTTTATGGTTCCAGTAATTTAAGTATTTTGAGATTACTGTGAAATGCTGATTGGAATGTTCCTCTTACTGAGAACTATATAGTCTGTTAGCCCATTATGAACGAACTTTTTTTGAGTCATCCCCAGGTTAAATGTTTTGGTGTGCATGTGGATTTCACTAAAATTTCCTATTTCTTCTTCGAATTCAATTATTACTTTTTTTTATTCCCATGACATTTGTCAGATCCCATGAAATTTGTCTCATTAGAGTGGCTTAGTTTAGCTGTCAAGTCTCTAGGGCATTCAATTGCAGATAAGTGACTAAAATGCCCGCCTCACAGCATTTTTATTAACAGATGGCAGAAAACAAACGTCTTTGGAGAAAAACCGAAGAGAAGGGGTTAAAGGGTCAATAAACAATTATTATCGTGCTTAAATTGGGGGGTTTCTCAGAAGATTCAATGGGGAGCCGCTCGCCCAATCTGGAGGAGCTGGGACACCCCAGCGCACCCCAGAGCGTTCTCCAGGGACCACCTCAGAGGATGCGGTGGTCTCTCGCGGCTAGAAGGCTCCTAAGGGCCGTCCAGGGGTCAAACATAGCGTCACAGGACTGCTCTAGGGTTAGGGTGGAGGGCTAATTGAGAAGGAGGCTGGGAACTCTAACTCGGTCCAGAGCACCTCAGGCCAGCGCGTGGTTCAGGTATCAGCCCCCTTTGGCAAGAAATAGTGGGGTCCTCTCTCCTCCCCACTCTTCTCCGTTGCCGCCCCCTCCTACGGGTGCATTTTTCTCTCTCGAGCAGGGCTGATTCCTAGGCTTTCTTTCCCTTCCCTCGGCAGCGCTCTGACGTGCACACCATGTGACAGGCCCCCTTCTGCTATAAGCCGAGGGAAGGTCCGCCCTCTCCTGGACTCAGCCCTGGCCTCGCCGAGCTCTGTTCCTAGACTCTCAGCCGTCCCGCGTTCTCCTGGGCGCCCGCCACTCTGACTCGCTCTCCCGGGCCCCGCCACCCCTCCTCAACTGACCGCGCGAAAGACTCTCAGAGAGGGGAAGGTCAAGTCCTCCGCCCGGGCCGGGAGCGACAGGAGCCCCGGGAGCGCAGAAACCTCTCGGCTGCGGCGGCGGCGCAGGAGTTACAAAGTCGCAGCGCGAGACTCCGCCGCCGCCTGGCAGCCCCCGCGCAGCTCAGGTAGCGGCGGCGCCCCCAGCGTGGCGCCCCCGGGCCGGGCCCGCCGCCCGGGACCCGGGCTGGGGCGCAGAGGGAGCCCGGAGCCCGGCGCCCCCATGCGCCGCCCCGCCGCCGCGGTGCCACAGCTATGACCCTGAGCACGGAGATGTCCGATGCCTCCGGCCTCGCGGAGGAGACAGACATCGACGTGGTGGGGGAGGGCGAGGACGAGGACGACGAGGAAGAGGAGGACGACGACGAGGGTGGCGGTGGCGGGCCCCGGCTGGCTGTCCCCGCGCAGCGGCGCCGGCGGCGGCGGCGCTCGTACGCCGGGGAGGACGAGCTGGAGGACCTGGAGGAGGAGGAGGACGACGATGACTCCTGTGGCCGGCAGCGTGCTCCCGGGCCCCGCCAGCCCGCGCGGGGCCGGCGCGGCGGCGGCGCGGCGCGGCGCGGGCGGCGGCGGCGCGGGCGGCGGCGCCAAGAACCCGCTGGTGAAGCCGCCCTACTCGTACATCGCGCTCATCACCATGGCCATCCTGCAGAGCCCCAAGAAGCGGCTGACGCTGAGCGAGATCTGCGAGTTCATCAGCGGCCGCTTCCCCTACTACCGGGAGAAGTTCCCCGCCTGGCAGAACAGCATCCGCCACAACCTCTCGCTCAACGACTGCTTCGTCAAGATCCCCCGCGAGCCGGGCAACCCGGGCAAGGGCAACTACTGGACGCTCGACCCCGAGTCCGCCGACATGTTCGACAACGGCAGCTTCCTGCGCCGGAGGAAGCGCTTCAAGCGGCAGCCGCTGCTCCCGCCCAACGCGGCGGCCGCCGAGTCGCCGCTGCTGCGCGGCGCGGGGGGCGCGGGGGGCGCGGGCGACCCTGCGGCGGCCGCCGCGCTCTTCCCGCCCGCGCCGCCGCCCGCCTACGGCTACGGCCCCTACGGCTGCGGCTACGGCCTGCAGCTGCCGCCCTACGCGCCGCCCTCGGCGCTCTTCGCCGCCGCCGCCGCCGCCTTCCACCCGCACTCGCCGCCGCCCCCGCCGCACGGCGCGGCCGCAGAGCTGGCCCGGACCGCCTTCGGCTACCGGCCGCACCCGCTCGGCGCCGCCTGCCGGCCCTGCAGGCCTCGGCGGCCAAGGCGGCCGGCCCCGGCGCTCCGGCGCTGGCGCGCTCGCCCTTCTCCATCGAGAGCATCATCGGAGGCACCTGGCCGCCGCCGCCGCCCGCGCGCAGCCGCCGCCGCCGCGCAGGCCTCGCCCTCCCTCGCCGGTGGCCGCGCGCCCGCGCCCGGCGGCGGAGGCTGCGCGCGCAGGCGGCCGTGGGCCCCGCGGCCGCGCTACCCGCTCCCTCGTGGCCGCCGCGGCCGCCGCCGCCTCCTCCGTGTCCTCGTCGGCCGCCCTGGGGACTCTGCACCAAGGGACTGCCCTGTCCAGTGTCGAGAACTTTACTGCTAGGATTTCAAATTGTTAATAACGCTATGTTAGCGCGCTTGAGAAGGAGAAGGTAGGCACCCGGCTCCTTTTTGCATCTCGGTGGTTGGGTGTTTTGTTCGCCCCTCTCGGCGCGGCCCCTCCCGACCTCGCGCGCCCGTATTCGCCGCTTCGGAGTCTCGGACCAAACTGCGTTGGCCACAGCCGGGCGCGCTTTTCGGCTCTGCGGGTCCCTCTATTTATGCAAAGCCGTCCTATGCTGCAGCCCCGGACCTGGGGTAGGGAGGAAGGGGGTGCTGGTGGGGGTCCGCCCTGTCTAGGCGCTAGGGACTTCCTTGACTTCGGCAAACTAAAAACAACAACAAACAACTAAGCCTTTCTGAGGTGTAGAGATTCTCAGGTCAGGTCCAGGCGTTAAAACATAAATGCTGTTCAAAAGAAGAATAATGCAGAAATAGCAAAGTTCTCAAAGAATGCCAGCGAAGCAATACTTTTTTTTTTTTTTTTTATCTGAGGACACTTGTCTGGTGTACTTTTTCATGAAAAGGAAAGAATGATTAACATGTTTACACAAGAAAAGTCAAAATTATCATTTCTTATTTTAACCTGTGTTTTGTATCATAATAGACGTGCGGAATTTTTATTTTGTACTTACTGCGTATTCTTTGCAAGGAGAATTGTAAATTTTACTGGCAATTATTGTTGTACTATTCTAATGTAAGGTTTTTACACTTTTTCAGAAATAAAATACTTAATTTTCAAAGAAAAGTCACCAAAATAATTGGCTTCAGTTGTCCCCTTCTTAATTTGTTTTCTGTTAAAAAAGAAGTTTCTGTGTGGGAAAAGTAGGAACCCAATATAGAATAGAGCTAAATATTATTTTCAAAGATAATTTAGCAAAAGCATCTTGCCATGATTTTTTATTTTTTTATGTTGACTTTCTAAGTCAAAACCATTGTAGATCAGAAATTATTTTTAAATGATTATAAATAAAATGAGTTACTTTGGTATACATTTTCGAATCTGATTCTATTCCATATTTAAGAGTGTTGAGGCATTTTGAAATTAAAGCCACAGTTACCCCAAGATAATTTTATAGAAACTTTTATTTTAGAGCTTCCCACTTAATTTACTTTCCACTGTTTATCAGTGTTATAAATTCTACAAACATGTTATGTTGTAATAAAAGCAAAACAAGCAGAGACAATTTCTCGTTTAAATTTTTGATAGAAAAAATTAATAGAAATGGTCGTAGCTTTAAAATCTTGAATAAAAATATTTGCATATATAAAATAAATCATATTTGAAAGTTCTAGTATTTAAAGTTACTATTTTTGGCATGGAAGGGATTCCAGTAATTGCATAAAGAGGCTTTTTTTTTATTTTAAAAGGCAAACATTGAAATTCCAGCTTAAATAAATAAGTTAGGGTATTTAAGAGAAACCTTCAACTTTAGGATAAGTATATGCTTTAAAGAATAAAAATGACAAAAATATCAGGTGTATGTTAAACTATATTTCTACAACTTAGGTGATTTAGGATATCTCTTCTAAAATTTTGTCTTTTCATTAACTGCTTATGCACACAATTTCTAGTTCCTTGAAAAAATGTGAGATACTAGTTTTGATGACTATAAATATTATTGTGGCTCTAAGTAAAACCAAGGCATATCTAATATATAATTTAAATGCTTAATATCAATGGAGATTAAATCTGTTTATTCAATTTCTCTAAAATGGACAGGTATATATCTGAATATCTGCAGATTTAACTTGCCAAGTTAATGAAGTCTGCATTATAGGTCAACTTTTTGGAGTGATATTCACTCTTGACGCCTTGTCTCCTTTTAGGGAGGAAAAAAATGATTCTCACAGGCTCAAAATGAAGTTCTGTTTTTTTACTATGAAATGTTTGGAAGAGGTTAAACACACGCAAACCTCAAATTCACCACTAAATATATAGATACAAATTGAAATACTGTTAGACTAAAATCATGTGCACAAAAGTTACTTTTACCCTAGCCCGGCTAAGAGGAGACGCTGAACCTGAGAGCGTCGGGGTCCCACGCGCCGGCCGCGGGCGGAGAGGCGTTAGAGAAGCAGCCAAGCGGCACAGAAGGTGCTGGCGCGCCTTACAGCCTCTGGAACGCACGGATCTGAAATACAGGTCTGAAAGTAGTTAGAAAGAGGGAGAGCCCAAAACAAAACCGTTTTCATTTTTAAAAATTTTGCATAATGCGTGGATGTCCAGAAAGTAGAGAATCCAGGCTAATGTCTCTCTTTCTCTCCCCCACCCCTCCCTCGTTCAGATTCCCCAAAATTTAAAAAGCGCGGGGACGGGCTCCACCTTCCGGGTGTCAGTGCATTTAAAACAATGGCAGGAAGACGCTGGGCAATCCAGCGCTGGCCTCGCTCCGAGTCCCAGTGTTGGGGTCCCGCTTCTCTTTCACCCTTTGGGGCCCCGCAAGCCTGTTTTTAAACAGATGGTGCGCAGGGTGAGCCCCTGAACCTTAAGACCATTCAAACCCCACCCGCCTCAATTTCGAGCGTCGTGTCCTGCGGCCGGGCTCCCCAGCCTCTGGCTTTGGGGTTCCGCTGTTGGCCTAGCTGGCTCCGCAGGCATGCTCAGCAGCGGACGAGACTGGGGGAAGGTAGGGTCGCAGGGCGGGTGAGACGTGAGCTGTGAGAGGTGTGGGCCGCGGGGCAAGCAAGGAGTGACACGGGCCGTGGATCGTGGACGGGCGAGCCGGAGCGCGGGGCGCGCCCCGTCAGGCCGCGCAGGCGAGCAGGTGCTGGAACAAAGGCCGCCGGGCCGCCCTGGCTACCGCGGCCTTTGATGGGCAAGGACGTCTCCTCCTGGGGCTCCTCATTCGCATGCAAATCCAGCGCTGGTCCCCTTTTCTTTGTAGGCAAACAGAAGGATGTTTGTCTGTTTGTAGGAACGAAGCCTGCTTGAACAAGCCTTCCTCAATAGGCTGGGTCTCGAAAAATAAACCAGTTGGACAAACATTGGTCACCAGCTCTCCTCCTCCCAACTACAAAGTGTGGATTTGCTACAACTCATTAACCCGACGCTTTTCTCCCCTTCTCCTTGTTTCTCCGCTCATCAAACGCCCCCGTAGAGCCTCGAGACAAATGACTGAAGCTCAGTCGAAAGGGAATTGCAGTTAATAGGGAGAGGGATATATTGGGGCTAATGGTTCAGGCAGCTCCTGGAGAAGGACCACACAAAAAGGAGCCTCTTCATTCACGACTCTGTTGTGTTGCGGAGATTTAATCTGCTGCTAGATTTAGTCAAATGTTATCTATTGCGGGGTAATGAAGCCCTTATGGATTGAATCGCTCCTTGTACCACACATGGTGTCATGACCTTAGATCGTTCCTTGGTTGATTTCTTTTTTCTCTATTGGATAATTATTTTATTTCTTTAAAATAAGAAGCTAGCGCTTCTGCTCAGAATGTGTTTCCTCTCCATCCCATCCCATGCGTTTATTTAAGGGCCGCTTCCTTTCCTCTTAAAAATAGAAAAAGAGAAATTGTGGAGGTGAAGGAAAAAATTGTGAAGACCTTTTTCGTCTTTTACTCACTGAAGCTGTTTACCATCTCTACTTCTCTGGCCCCTACTCAGCCTCCCTTTCCTGCCCAAGCTTTCTGTTGATGGAAATGGAATTCTGGATATATTTATTATCAAAATTCTTACAGTGACTGTAGTAAGCATTCATCTCAGAAAAGGGCTTTTCTGCCATTCACAGTTTTTTTCTTTTTTATAAACCCACCATTTCTTCCTGTAGCCTGTCCTCTGAGAGATCTGGGGGAGGTGGTTATTCTGATGGAAGGTGATTATTTTGATGGAATACCAGCCTGTGTCATTTATTAAAGGCTGTCTGAGGCCAGTGGTTGAGGCTATGCCTGTTTTGTTTTTCTCTCTCTGGCCCCAGTGGCTCTGATTTCCTTGCTTGACCAAGGATGGAGCTTGGAGCGGCTAACCATGTTATTACAACTGCTATTGATGGGTAGGGATCTGATCTTACTACCCAAAGCCAGGAATTGAGGACTCTAGTTATAATTTCAAAATTTTCTGCTGGCTACATATTCTGCTCACACCTGTTTTTATTACTGACTGAGAAAAGTCATTGGGGGGGGCAATTTAAAGGTCATATCAGCATCAAACTCAATCCAAATCAGAAATCTGTCCAGGAACCGCCCTAGTCTCTCAGGGCTCCTCCAGGGGGGTAACCATGCATCTAATTGGAATGCCAGGGGGTCCCCCATCCCCTTTAGAACTGAACCAGACAAGGACAGGCCTGGGGAGCAGAGGACAAGTGAAGTGGGCTCAGCATTGTCTGCGTTCATTCTTGTCTCTGCCGGTTTCCTGGTGGTGCAGCTGGGTCACACATACACATACACAGGCATGCACGCTCATTGCCCATCAGCTGCCACTTGCCGCCCTTCTCCTCTATGATTTTGTAATTAGACATATGCCTTTTGTTGGTAAATGTGTTTGATGTCATGGCCAGTGAAATGTGGTGTGTTTATAGGGCAACAAATGTAAATGTGTAAATATGTTTAGTGTAAAATCTGGCCCTTCAACTTTAGCAATAAATACCATGCCAACTCGGATACAATTACATCTGACAGAAAGATGGAGAATCTGATCATGACCAGCTGCTCAGGGCTTTTGGGGCTTATACTTTCCCAACTGAATTCCCTTTTCAGATAATTTCTTCGCATGTCACATCTCTCTAATCACATCTTTCCCTTGATGTGAACAGCTTGGGCTCCTTTTTCTTGTTGACCCCTCTGGCATGCAGGAAACTTTCTGGTTTATTCCTCTAGCTTCTTTACCAGGAAAATACTGGTCAGTAAGAAGCAAAACACACACAGAGAAAACAGCTGATGATTATCATTGATCTCTTTTTGAGTCCTGAGTTTCTAGGTGTGATAGGATGGCGAGGAAGAAAAATGAGGATAAAAACTCTGAGCTTCTGACCCATGTTTATAATTTTTCTTGTCATTATCATCAGCATCCTAACTTTAAAACCTGTTTTGAGCTATTCTAACTTTTAAAAGTAAAAATTAAAAAGAAAAAATTTTAGGGAAGTATAATGTACAAATTCTAATGACTTTTCACAAAGTGAATGCACATGTATGACCAGCATCAGATCAAGAAGCAGATGTTATTAGTGTCCTGGAACTCCTGTCTTGTCTATTCCAGTCAATGCCTTCACCACATATTGATTTTTAAAAAAGAACTTTCACTAATATTGCTCTTAAGTACACTGTGAAATCGTGAGGACAAGAATTATTATTGACCCCATTTTACAAATAAAGATATCAAGGCTCAAGAGAGATTAAATGACTCGCACAAGGTCATAGCTACTGGGACTTCAGCATTTAAATCCCATTTTATTTCCATTAGAGCATACTGCTAGTTTCTTGCCATCATTGTGATTTATTAAACTCCCACTGTGGTAGGGAAGTTACCTTAGAGGTCATCGTATAGAAGAATCATTTATTTCTTACACACATTCCCCCCCCCCACATTCTCACTACACCCTCTTCCCCACCGCCTCCACCCAGGTCTTTCAAGAACCTTATTTTAGATGTATTTGGAATTGACACCTAATTATTTCAGAGGCATCAGCTTCCTCCACCTAATTCTTTCCACATTATACTCTCCTAGCATCCCTTCACACACAAACACACAGCTCATCTTTGTGCTATTTACCAATTTCCTCTACTTTTCTTGCTGATTTTTAATGGTCGAGA